AACAATCCAATGCAATGTTTCACCATGGATAAAGAAACTAAAAACTCGAGAAAATATTATGTAAATACCAAGCTACTACTAATTTCCCTCTCTGCTTCCTTGTACTTTAGAGCGAGCTAGACCCGATAGCCTCGTTTTGGCGTAAGCTCATCCGGAGACCGCTGATTTCGCGTGCTCAACTCCGATAAGAGCTATTCCCGCTAGTTGAAAGGCACAAGGGGAGGCGTGGCTGCGATGCCACGGAGGTGGAGTGGTTTGTATTGAATATGTTATTAACTGGAAAAAAAACAACTTGTTTTTAGTTCAAAACAGAATATATTGCTGAGTATCCTTTAAATACTCACATCTTTAAACCAGTTATGGACAAGAAGTGTTATCTCGTTTTAAGTAAGTGTAATGTTTTTGCGTTGAGACGGAATAAGTCTCTACAGTCATTTCCCGATTATTGCCTGTGGACTAGAATGAAAAATGAATTTTATTGTAGTAACTTTCCTAGTTTCTAACTAATTAGGATTTTGACAGTATATGAAACTTCCTTCCTGAGAGTTCCTCTTGAGAGGTTTGACCGCATACATAGTATCTTGCCTGGCACGCACCGCTCGGTACTTTGTCCATTTTACTCCTACGGAATTTAGAGGATGTACGTTTTTCTTAGCTTGCCTCAAATCCCCATTTGCTAATAGAGTTCTACCATTGTTTTACGGTGACGATCATGATGGCTCGCTTGTAATCGACACAATACCAAGCTTTGATTCTTCTCAGTGTGACAACCAATCATTTCCCTTCCACTTCCGGGTAGTTATTGACAAAATGTGAATTGAGACAGTCGATTATTTGAAGATGGCTACCCCTGAAATAAAAACCTTGGAGCACTAAAAAAGTCAGCTGTCAGAAGTCGCTGAAGTATTTATGTACAAAAATATATACTAAACAAGCTGTAGAGGTTCAAAAGTGCATTAGCGCGCCTAAATCAGTGAAGGAAATAGTAAGTCAGTGGTTTCCCGTCTCAGAGTCTGACGTTAGAACTTCATCGGGAAAGACATTCTATCACTTATTTAGTCTCTGTCAGCCAGTCAGCCTTTAGGTGGTCATCCAGTTGGTCGATCGCTTGATCAGTCTGAGTCAGGCAGTCAGTCAGCCTTTGGGGGTCAGCCAGTCGGTTGATCGTCCGGTCGGTCGGTAGGAAAGTCAGTCAGCCAGTCAGTCCGTCAGCCTTTAGGGGTCAGCTAATTAGTCGATCGCTCAACCGATAGGGAAGTCAGTCAATGAGGTAGTCAGTCTAGCTGAACCTTTCATCTAAACATTTATTTTTGTGGACAGCGTCAAAAGGGCCGGAAGATAACAGTGAATGGACATTTATTTCATTAAATCAACCCTGTTTAAAAGAAAGATCGAGTTCCGCTGATTGCGTAAACCCGTGGTTCGGTTTAGACATCGTATAAATAACCGGCCCTCAGTTTTTTACAGTGCTCGCTAACCGACATGGCACGACGGTTTCTGTAAATATTGCTTATTTTGAGTCAGCTCGTCCGTCCGCCAGACATTCAGTCCATGGGTCACACAGACGGTTGTTCAATGAACCAGTACAAGCTCAGCACGGACGTCTCGACAAGCATTGACAGTTTGTTAGTTACTTAATTTGGACTTACATGCACAAGAGTCTTAGTCAACTGTTTTTTCGTTCCGGCTTTAGCGCGTTATCACTTTACATAGAAAGGTCGTCATCTTATGTCACTGTGAAGTTGTCGTTTCAAAAGAGAATCAACAGGTCGATTGATTCGTGTTTACTCTTTTTCTTTTAACTGATCTTAATGCTGTGGTCATGCTATAACTTAATACCGTACTTTCTCGAATAAGCTCCTCCCTAGAGTAGATGGCCGCATTTGGGACAGAAAAGTTAATAGGCACCGCCTCCGAACAAGCGCTACCGTCCCGGTTGCGGCGCTTACTGATTCGAAGAATTCTTTCACAAGCTGCAATACTGTACGCAGTTGGATATCTTGGGTGTCCTCAATACAAAACCTGTCGAATGTACAGATTGAGAAGTAGAAGAGGTGTACTCTCCCGCGCTAGAGCTCAGAGACTCAGATCAAGAAGGGCCAGCTACATCTAAAATGATCGAGGACACTACGCGCACGGTGGCGGAGAGACAAACGGTGATAACTAAAAGATACCTCTGTTAGTAACTGAAAAATTTTGGAACATGAGATATTTCATTAAATTTTTGCACAGATGAAAAATTTACCGTGAAATTGAAAGATGACATTACTTCGTCGCGTACAAGTTTTGAAGGCTCCCCCTTAAATGAGCACAGCCTTCGAATGAGCGCTGTATTTGAAGCGGGAAACATTAAATAAGCGCCGCGTTGCTCATTCGAGTAAATACGGTATGCGAGTAAACCGGTAAAATATCCATTCGTCTGCGTGTCAGTCAAATTCAAGCACGGTCAGTCACGGCCCAACAAAATAACTTGTATTAAGAAGTCAGTCAGTTCATTAGTACATGATGGTTTTTATTTACAACTATATACAATTTTTCGGACTACTGCCAATATTTTCTGAGGTAGCTAAATGCAAAAAAAAAAAGTTTGGAGAAGTCAAGTTCTTGTCTAAGTCGTCAGAGCAAGTGGAGTGAGAACATTGGTGACAAGAGACTTATTAGTGCTACTGAGTTATCTTCAACATCAATTGCCTCACCGCAGAGCTTTCGGCGCAACCAAAAATCGTGTTGCATATTTCAACGTAAGAACACAGTTTTTGACAGAAAATTTTACAATACCGTTTTTCAGTCTATGTCTTACTTATAGGTCTTAGTCATATTCACATAAGGTGTACACTGTTGGTCCGTCACTGCGTCTTTGGTAGCAATCCGTGTGCGAACGTTGTGAGTAGGGTAGTTAAATGCATTTGGCAGCGAACGTGTTAATCAGTCAGCGAGATATCATGCGTCATCAGTTTAGTAAGCCAGGCTGTCTGTCCGCTTATCAATCAGAGAGTCAGTCTGTCAGCTAATCAGTTAATTTATCGGTCAGAAAGTCAATCTTTCAGTTAATCGGTTAGTCTATCAGTCAGAGAGTCAGTCTGTCAGCTAATCAGTTAGTCTATCAGTCAGAGAGTCAGACTGTCAGCGGATAAGTCAGTGTATTATTCAGACATTCAGTTTGTCAGCTACTCAGTTAGTCTGTCAGTCAGAGAGTCAGTCTGTCAGCGGATAAGTCAGTTTATTATTCAGACAGTCAGTCTATCAACTATCAGTCAGAGAGTCAGCCTGTCGGCGCATAAGTCAGTTTATTATTCAGACAGTCAGCCTGTCACCTAATCAGTTAGTCTATCAGTCAGACAGTCAGTCTGTCGGCTAATAAGTCAGAGTTTATTAATCAGACAGTCTGTGTATCAGCTAATCAGCTAGTCTATCAGTCAGACACTCAATCTGTTAGGCTGTCAGCTAATAAGTTAGTCTATCAGTCAGTCTGTTAGTCTGTCAGCTAATCAGTCAGTCTATCAGCCAGACAGTCAGTCTGACAGTCTGTCAGCTTATAAGTCTCTTATTCAGACGGTCAGTCTGTCAGCGGATAAGTCAGTTCATTATTCAGACAGTCAATCTGTCAGCTAATCAGTCAGTCTATCAGTCAGACAGTCAATCTGTCAGTCTATCAACTAATCAGTCAGTCTATCAGTCAGACAGTCAGTCTGTCAGCCGATAAGAAAATGTATTATTTAGATAGTCAATCTTTCAGTTAGTCTATGCTTCCAACAGACAGTTGATCAGTCCATCGTTCACCACATCATAAATGCTAATCAGTGTGATAGCCCTATAAGTAGGAAAGTTGAATACATCTGACAGTTAACGTGACAATTAGCGAGTTATTTGTTGGGCATAAGTTTTTCAGTCTGTCTGTTAGTCAATCAGTCAGTCTATTGGCCGGCAGTCAGTCAATCGACATGCTGGCCAGAGTCAGTCTGTCAGTCAGTCAGTCAGACAGTCAGACAGTCAGACAGTCAGACAGTCAGACAGTCTGTCAGTCGGTCAGGTGGTCAGTTGGTCATTCAGCCAGGTAGTCAGTTGGTCAGGCAGTCGGTCAGTCAGTCGGTCAGTTGATCAATTAGTCTGTGTCCACATAACTGGTTCCAATCCAGATGCTCGCCTAGCGACTAGGATAATGTGAGACATCTGGTAGCCAACATGTCAATTCGTCAACGCGTTTTCCGCATGGCGTCAGTTTAGTTGGCCAGTAAGTCATTCTCTCAGTCATTCAAAAAGTCAGTCAGTCAGTCAGTCAGCCTTACAATCAATCTGCAACTCAGACAGTCAGACGGCCAGTTAGCCAGCAATTAAGCAAGTCAGTCAGTTCCTTAACGTACCATTAATACTAAATCATGTGATAACCTTGTGATTTTTGTAGTTTAAGGCACCTGGAAGTTAATATTTAACCCAGTCAGCGAATCATATGTTAGGCACAAGTTAAGTAAGCCAGTCAGTCTGTTAGTCAGCCTGTAAGTATGTCTGTCAATTCACCGTTGTGTGGGTCAATTCGTTTGTCAGTTGCTCGGTTAGTCATTCTGTAAGATATGGGCCATCAGCCATTGTCTATTGATCAGCGAGTCATTCAGCCGGTTGGACAGTCGGGCAGTCAGTCGGTCAGTAATTAAATAGTTAGGTTAGTGAACATTCAGTCTTGAGTTGGTATCTGAGTCACTAAGTGTGAAAATCACGAGGTTCCTAATGACATTAATCACTAATTAGTCGTGTGTAAGTTGATCAGTCACTCAGTCTGTCGAGCTTTCTAACAGCCAGTAATCTTCAGTCTGTCATTCAGTTGTTAAGAGAATTAGTCAATCATTCAGTCATTCGTCAGTCGGTCAGTCGATCAGCTATTGTCAAGTTGAACATTCAGCATTCAGTCTCGCCGTCAGTTAGTAAAGAGGGTAGCAAAGGCAGAGGGGGGGGGGGGGTCTAATTTTGGCCTTACTCGCGCTTCACGTATAAACCATTTGCCCCCCTCCGTCAGGCAGTTGTCTTTTAGTCTCTCAGTCAGTAGGCCATTTGGTCACTTAGTTAGAGAAGAGTTAGTCCTAATTCAGTTTTTTCATTCAGTTAGCCTGTCAGTCAGTTTGAAAATCATGGAGTGAATACAGACATTTAAATCATTCGTCAGTGAGTCAGTCGTCTGTCACTCAGTCATTTGCTTAATCAGGCAGTCATAGAGTCAGTTATTAAGTCACTCGGTCATTCAGTTGCGCTGTTAGCCTGTTAGTCAGCCAATCAGTAGACCGTTAGTCAATCCGAAAATTCTTACTGTAATGAGCGATCAATGCGATAACAGCAACGATCTTAGGTGTTAATTTCATTCCGATTGTAAACTTCTCCTATTCTGACAAGTTTATCTCTATAATTTGTCAAGTTAGTTCGTTTGCCATCTAACGGAATACCTCCGCGTTCGGTGTAATTTTATCGGTTTCGAGGTTTATCTTTCTCGTCTGCATCATCCTAGCTGGCAGTAGGTCTTGTAACGTGTTAGTTATTTGCTTTGAAATTAAGATAAATCTTGATTTTACCTTTATCATTATCATCACGAATGTCATCAGGTAATCTACCTGTTGTTGTGAAAGTGATACTGTTGTCAGTATGTTAAGCGTCTCTGTGGCTTCTCTCAGTCCTTTTTTAGCTTGTCAAAACCTTGTCTTTGTCAGTCGTTAACACGGCATACTGTCATTGTTTTTGCACCATCACAGTTTACAAACCTTTTCCTTGGGTTTTGACGCGAATTTTGACTTGATTTTGGACTTGAGTCTTGAGTCTTTTGACTTGACTTTTCGTCGGAATTTTAAACTTAACCCGTTTTCATCCAAGAGGAGGGGAAGTATTTGCTGCATTTTCCGTAAGACTGCCACGGCGATTGGAGTTGAACTCGTAATGCAGACATAATTTGTCTTCTGGGTAGTTGATAATTAATTGACTGAACTCCATAAAATCTTCTGTCGCTAAACTAGGTTCTCAGATCAACCATTGTTGTCTTCACATGTCTTTGACATGGCGTCGGAGAATGGATTATCACTTACGTGACCAACAAGTGTTCTTCATGCGACAAGGCATGATGAAGTCATAGCATCCCGTCGATTTTCGGCTGCATCACTTGACTAGAACAATGTGCAGTCATTAACTCAGCGTTTTCATAAAAAAAAAAAAAAATGTTAAAATATTCATACTCAGGAGTACTCTTCCATCGAATATCCGAACATCTCAAAATCATGCCTGTACTTGTTATACAATTTGCCTTTAGTCTGCTTCGGCAGCGACTTGAAATACTCCTTTGCTAGACCTTTTGTGGATAACTTGTATCTAGAAGTCTTATTGTGTGGAAATTGTACTTTATCATTCGCCTGGAGAATGTTCAATAGCTGGTCAGCTTCAGTATATAAATTTTCAAACTTTCCTATAAAATCGTAGTAAATTAAACACGGATGGCACAGCATGTCGTACAGTTTCCAGTGCCAATCCATAAACTCGGGCTCAGAATTATTAATAAATTCAACAAATTCTGCAAAGCTCACACCTTCTCCCGTCTTGAGAGACCTGATATCGGGATTATGCCGATATTTTCGTATGATATGCCTGCCATACATCTCTTTAAACAGCGTCAAATTGTAAGAGTCTATGAACTTGTTTCTGTATGCTGAAACAAGTCGCTCAAATGGGTGTCGAACGAACAGAAACTTGTAGTAAGTGCTGAGTCTGTGAACAATCTCCTCCGCAGAGTATTGGTTCAAATATCGAAAAAATCCTAAGCTGCGATTATGCACGTCCGCGGTCTTAATACTCCATGGGTCAGCGGCGTCACCATTCATAACCATGAGCACTCGTTTCCAGTTGGAGCAAGCCACTTTCGGAATGTAACAATAGAGTAGTTTGTGATAATCATCCACAATGATGTTTCTGAAATAGTACGCGGGGATTTCGTTGCTTGAATGTGGAGGGAGAAGTTCTTTTGGGTCTCGCTTGTGACAGTAGTCAATGAGGTGCTTCTTCCGCAACTCTTGGGTCTCGTCAGTTGTCTGAAAGAAAAATGGCCTTTGTACTTGCCTTTGGAGTATTTAAAACCGAGTTAGGAGAGAGTTCTATCTTTTTAAACTCTAACCTCCACAATATCGAGTCTATGCCATGGCTAAGGTATTTCTTGTTAGTGTTTTGCTGCTAGGAGCTTTGCTCAAACATTGCTATTAAGAAATTTGACTGCGAAAACAAACTATACTAACATTACGATAAGTACTAGTAGATAATGCAAATTTAATGTTGAAACTAATGACGGACGACAAATAACGGGCAGCCAGCGACAAGCGCGAGAAAATTAAACACGTGTGATTATGTTGCAGTTGATGAAATGTACTCCTACATCTGGCTGGTTGAGTTTGTGATGAGAAGTAGGCCGGCCAGATTTTCTGAGCTAATCAGAAACCTTCTTAAGGCTACGGTACGTTTACCTGTAATTTTCAAATATTTGTAAGTAGACATAGAATTGGTAAAAAGAGAGTTTTATAAATGTACACTGCTGAAAAAAGAATTAAAAGAAGAAACAGAAGGTTTTTTCTTCTTTAAAGAAAGAATTACGTAAATCGTAAAGGGAAAGGAGGATTACGTCATTATTTTACAGCCTGGGGCAACCTTGGAAAATTTAAACTAAAAAATCTTCATAAGAAAGATTTGTTTCTAATATACAACTTGGAGTGGACAAAATCAGGAGTGGATGCAATATGTGTCAAAGGATAATGCAACTGTTGACGTGACTTAGAACCAGCAAAGCGATTCACTTCCGACAAAAACAAGGTTTAATCTCCTGGAACAGGATTTAAGTGTTAGACTTCTCAGATGTCAAGTTTCATTACAAAGGGCGCTACCAATGCCTCGTTCTGATATAAGAGTCCGGAAATCTATCTAAAATATTAAGAATTATGGGCCTGGAGAAAGAACGAAACAAACCTTCCAAGTATTTTCTCGAAAACTGTATACATCGTGACGTCTGAAGTTGTTATTTTCTGCAAAATAAGTGTTTTTTTTTCTTAAATCAACATCTGGAGAGAACCAAGGATTATTTGAGCCGAAAGAAAAATAAACTGATCGAGGAAATCTGAATAGTAGATGAAGAAAAATTTTGACAGATGTTTATTATGATTGTCGACACGTTTACCTGCGAAGTTATCTTCGTTTTGACTACGAAACGCTTCCCAAACCAGTAAACCAAACAGGCCTAACAGTGATCCCAGACGAAACAAAAACAGTCTCACCATGGGGGAATTAACGGTGCCCAAAGAACAGACGGCTTTAAAACCATGGACTCCGAGCACTGTATCGAGCTTCTCAGTAGAAATCCAAGCGTGTAGAATGCTTACTCGGTGTCTTGCGCAAGCAATGACCCTTTGTGGCAACTTTAAAGAGCTGGATCAAGAACATTACAAGAGATTTGTGGTATGAAGATATTTTACGCCATGGTAACCAAGCGTAAAGCAAACATGATCCAGTTGTGCTTCTCCGCTGAAGCAGATGATTTTGAAAGAAGGAAAACGTTTTCTTCCAGTCACAGTGTTTGGGTAAACAGAGCGTTAGGGCGCCACCTGTTGTCGAGTGATGCGACCTGATGAACCGAACAGGATGTTTAATAGACCTGTAAACAGAGATAATGCGCGTTTTTTTCCTGACAAATAATTCTTCCGTGTTGTAATCATGACCCTGTAGACAGGCAGAAAGGCAACTGTTGAACAGAACGCTTACTACGGTCAATTTCTTTAAGAAAGTCCTCTCCAAAACGCGACCACCCATACCGACTTCATTGCATGTGTGTCGCTAAAACACGCACCGTGTCTTTTATCGATATAACTTAGACCAAAAACAGACTTTATTGAGACGCAAAAAGATCAAACACGTCGGTGACGAGAGTTTGTAGAAATATACGCTTGGAGCTCCGCTACGTGACGTAATCCCCGTATGATTAATATTTGACAGCAGTAAGTTAATACTGTTTCGAAATCGATTATGGTGTATTAATGATCGAAGGAACAGCGTCAAGAAATTTTGGTCAATATTCGGTATAAGGGCTTTGAAATTGAATTTATTTCCTGAAAAAACGTTCTGTCGTGATGCATTCTGTCCAACGTCGTAAGTTTTGTGGTAGCCCGTTTGTTAAAAAAAATACCTGTTACAATGTTGACGTTCGTTTCAGTACCATGGAAACCAATAAGAATGACCCTTTACTCCTGATTCTGTAACAGTAAAACAAGTTCAGCGTAAAAATTAATCTGGAATACATGCACCTTAGTGCTAACCGATTCTCAGTTGTGACGGAAACTGCAATTCAAATATGTCTCTCATCTATACGAGTTTTTGGAGCTTTCAGTTTATCTACCGAGGAAGAAAATTTCCAACTACCTTTATCCGTACTAACTTGGGCTTTTGTTTGGAGGTGAGAGTCTTGATATTAGCTCCTCCTATAAAATACTTTATGGTTTTCACAAAATAATGATTATCTTCCTCTAGCGCAATTTCTGCAACTGCCATTGAAAATTTCTATCGGTCGATAGGTTTGCGCAGAGGAAAATTCGGTAACAACCGATATAACATTTTTTTTACTCTCAAATCTGGAGCATGCGCATACCGTTGTACCTTGCGTTTTTTGGTCGGGGGAAGGGGTATTTCAGATGATTTAGTTTGTATTTTGATTGAAATTCTCGTCAATGGTCATGGCTTTTGCGAAATTTCGTGGCCCCTATGAGAGCGGTTTTTTTAAAGGTAAGTTCCATCAGGACGCACTTATCGAGATAATATGTAAACAGGACTTTCTTTGAGAACAGCTCCGGTCTGTATGCCTGAACGCATTTGCAAACTAGAAGTGCCACAAAATAGTAGAGTTCCCATTAAGCTTGATAACAGGGCACCCTCTCATTAATTTAAGTGTCCCAACGATTACTATCGTTGGATAGAGCAGAATACTTTGACACCATGCAGTCACAAAGTTTAAACGGAATTATGAAGCCGATTCAACCCTGCCAAAATAAGGCCAGTCGGTAGCTTGGAGAACGTTTTTGTCGACGCAGCAAACAGCGATCAAGGGCAGATTCAGGAAATCTTTCACAGGAAATCTTTCACAGGAAAGAGTCCAACTTTTATTAAGAAAATCAGGATCTTTTTTCACACTACAGCCTAAGAAATATTACAAGACAATATAGCTTTATATACTTCATATTGAGTAATTGAGTATAGCGACAAGCGAGCCGGCTGTAGTCGCAAGAGTTTTGGTGTAGGACAAGTAGTACAAAGAACCCTCAGTTCTGATGGGAGGGTTTCTGACCGTTCCCTTATTTTACTTCGATTGTTCTTTCTTTCCTTCTTTCTTTCTTCCTCTGTTCCTCTCTTTCTCTCTTCCACTCTTTCTTTCTCTCTTTCTTTCTTTCTTTCTTTTTTTCATTCATTCATTTATTTATTCATTCGTTCATCTCAATACTGCATCTCTGTGTTGGCGAGATAACTAGAGGGGCCGTGAAAGGAACATAAATGAATGTTACGTCACACATTTCTTTGATCTTTACCCTCACAAATATCAATTTAAAAACAAGAAACTTTTTGCACGTAACCTATGTTATGAATACACGATTCAGCAGCCTGTGACTGCTTCTGCCATCTTTGTAGTTTCAACGATTGAAGAGGTGGTACCTGGTAGTTTGTAGCAATGTTTTCCCTTGAGATTTGATCAAACGAAAAGAGGAAATTTCTTCGTTAAACGTGCCCTACTTAAAAAAATATCAGGTTTATGGTATTCAAATATTACGTTTTGTGGAATTAGAGAGGAATTTCAATTCTTTTTGGTATGAAGAATTTTTAACCACAAATACCCCCTTAATGTATAGACGGAATCTTCCCGAAAGTTCGATCACTTAGGGCCTCCCAAACAATTCTTAGTATTGCGCACCTATTACAAAAAAAACTTGTGAAATTAAATTGTTAACCATCCGACCAATACCTAAATTATCAATTAAATCCTGTATTCTTTCTTTCATTCCCCCTGAAACGAAAATATAAAAAAGAAATTTACTTTAAAGAATGCCAAAGAAGGTATTTAAACTCAGCTGGTTCTACGTGCAGAGAATCTTTTAGCAAACTTCTATAAAAGGTAAATCCTCTGCTTCATACAAAATAAGCAAGGTTCACCTTTTAAAATGTAAGCTGGTATGTCAATGATTTCCTTTCTCTCTCCATTCTGCTCTTACATGTTTCATGCAGGATGAAACTCAACTGAAACACGATATGGTGCTTGCAGACGGTTTAAATGAGAAATTATAGTTGATAAAAAAAAAAAATGAAATAAAACGACTTGCTTATGAAACTGAGGTGCAATAACTTACGTAGAGATTTTTAGCCAAAAGGAATCGAAAGAGAATGCAGAAGAATTTTCCATCGCATCAGCACAAAAGTCGAAAACGGGAAGATGCCTTCACTCTGTCCCCTCCCCCCCTCTCCTTCTAAATCCGCTTTTAGAATGAATTTTAAAGGAGATCGGAACGTATTCTATTTTTGTTTCGGTGAGAGGTTCATCCGAGAGTCGTAGTTGTAGTAGTTCGCTCAAATTAACTTTCCATTTCCTATTTAATCCGATATGATGCTTTAGATCAATATAGAAATATTCCACAAGTTATTGAAAAAGTCATAAAGGTGTCATAATATTGCATGGATACGATCCTTGGATATTTTCATCCTTTGAGCAACTTGTCATGATTCAAAAATGCAAACAGTTATGAAGGAATGCCACCAAAATGTATTCAAAATATCGTTGTAAAATATAAGGTCTGAATTAGTGTTAGTAATTTCTCTTATAGATATCCTTCTTTCCTCTCAGTTTTTACTTTGGTCAAGCAATGTCTTCACCAAGTAAACACTAGGATTACAAGACAAAAAACGACAACTATGCCGTAACTCCTTCTGATCCAAAAATACGGCCGAAAACAATATAAAAAGCTACATAACGATAATCTGTCATATTCCAGAGTACATTTTGGGTTTCGTTCATTCTTTAAATTTGAAACAAAATAGACAATTTTATTCCTTTTGATCATTCTTCTTTCTGAGTTATTTTTGTAAGAGGTTTTCTTCAGCTAGCTATCTGAAGGGAAAAGCGGATTAAACTACAATTTGATAAGAAAAAGTAGCGCTTGCTTAATAGAATAATTGTGTCAAAAAATATAGATTCAAAGGTTCTTTAATATTTCAATCAGCCACAATTATATTTTTGTCATCTTACTTCAAGGTTCTGGAATGATTCTAGGCATATAAAAATAATTGTTGAACATTAATTTATTTATTTGCGACTGTAAAGATCCATCAGCTTTAAATCTGGGCAGTTTTCGTTTGATTATTGGTTCGTTTGATTATCGGTCGAGAATATTCGTTTGAGTGTAACTTGAATTTTTCACACGGAAGGAACAGGAAGAAAAACGTTATAAAAAAAACTTAACCTGTCGAGAACTGGCTAGTGCTAAGACATACGACACGATTAATTACTAAAAAACGTGGGCTAGTTGCATTTTCACGATCGTATTTCTAATGTCTTCGTGGTATTGCATCGTTGCCGAAAATACATGTTATAACAAGCATCCAGATATACAAACTGACGATAAAGAGCTAGCTCTGTCACTTAACAGAGACCTCTTAAAGTCAATGACTGTCCTTAACCCCGCGTCAGAATGTCATGCCACACGTTGCAGTGTCAGCATGCAACAGGAATATTGTGAAGTATCCGCTAAGAATGATAAACTCAACGGTGCAAGTGTGGTAAACTCTCTAACTGAACTTTGTGGTCAACAGTATATCTTTGGTTGAGCGTAACAAGGCTAAGAAACAAGTTGTCTCTAGCGTTGCTTAAAAATCGTTGAACATATTACGGCCAAGCATAACAAAGATGAATAAGATATCCTTGAGAAGCTTGTTATCAGAAGGAAGTGGATAAGATTAATCAAGTAGGAAACGCTAGCAATGATATTGCAAGCTTGTGGTAATGTTATATATAACCCACCAATGGCTCAGCAAGTGCAGCGAAACCCGACCTACCCATATACAGATGAAGAATTGCACGACAAAGTCTCTCCTTGCCTACTCCTCTCCTTGCACCTCTAAATGACTATATCAATCTGTGTAACACTGGCAAACAACTTCAACCAACTTGCAATATATTTGACAAGTTTCCAGATCTGATAATTCAGGGCAGAAACACGATTCAAATAAATCATGACCTCGGCCTTAAATTTATGCAAATCCTAATTCTTTTTGTTTTGTTTTTTTTTTTCTCGCTTGTTTCCGCTGAAATGTCTTGCAGTTGTTCAAAGACGTGCGTAGTAAAGAAGATGGCGAAAAGCTGCATGAAGGCTTGCAACGATTATTTCAGTCGCAAGTGATGAGAGACTAACCCATTACAAATCATCTCCTAGGTCAGGTTGCAATATAACCATTACAATAGGGAAACAAATAAAAGATTAAAAGGAGGAAAAAACAACAAATAACAGAAAAAAAAGATAAAAAAGGAACATACTCAAACATGTAAGCTGAACTGAAGGTTTTAAAGTCTTAACCGTTGTTATGACATCTTAAAATTGCAACACAAAGAAGGTCAAGAATTTTCTTCAGGGGCGAGTGAAATGGCAGAAAATAAAGACAAATAGAGATCTGAACGCATAAACTTTGTACATACAAGGAAACCTATCACTAGGAATATATCAGTGAAGAAAAGCTTAGAGGAAAAAAGGAATTTGACGCCATACTTCTACAAAAACGTGAAGTATTAAACAAATTCTGCTATCAAGATTTATTGTGGTTTTCCGGCATTATAATACCATTCATAATTGTTTTGATGACATTTTAAGATAAATATAAAATAGCGCTCTGCTGAAAGATCTAGGGGAGAAAAGAAGTTGCTCTTGGCCTTTAATTCTGGCGATTAAGGTACGTATTGATTTATTAAGCTGCAAGGATAAAAACACGGAGTTTGACAAACAAGTTGATATTAGAAATGGCGGTACGACTTTACCATTCACTACTTTTATGTATTTAATCATGGAGAGTTTGGTTCGATCAATATAATTTGCCCTTTTACTTCTCCTTTCCTTTTTAAGTCTTCAGTTATATTTCAGATGCAAAAATTTTCGTGACTGAAAAACTGGACAAGAAATGGGTAAAGCAGCGAGGCCGACTGTGATTAAAGCCCTGAACTCGTCATTACAACATCCCCAGTTCGTGTTTTCATCCAATGCATGCTTATAAATTGCCTACTGGCAATTCGAATGTACAATCTTGTTTTGTTTCATTTTAAATGATCATTTGTTATATTAAGTTGCCTTGGTCCTACTAACCTTTGTTCTATGAATATTGCCGAAGTTGCAATTGGGCGACATCTTCAGAGGCTCAAAAATAAGAACGTACAAACAGGTACAAGCACATATTTATGAAAGGAATTGGGCCTTTATTCCTTAGAATAGGAAAGAGAAAAGGATAGGGGAAATTGTCCATGAAGGGAGTATTGTGCGGTTATAATGGAAGAAAACGTCACGTCTCTTCATGCATGATGAATTCTGCTTCCAGGAGCATTGAGAGAAAAGACTCGAAGATGGCGGAAAGTAACAAAATTTCAACGGCACTAGATAATTATAATTAAATAATTCCTTCCCTCAAATTCATAGATTAGGTATGATTTAGATCATTTTTCTTTTAGCCGTTATCACCTTACGAGGTACATTTGGATTTTTCAAGTGATGTTTTCAATTTGTTACCCAACGTTGAACATTGCTGATACAATTCAGCGAACTTGTAAAACATAAGTTGAAAACTTTGAACATTTTAAACTTTGCAATGCACTCTGAAAAAATATCTTATGAGGACATAGATACGCTGACTGAACAGAAAAACATGGGAAAGGTAACATGGTACATCAGTGAGTACATATCTTAGCGGAGAGTTAAACGTTCCAGCAGCGAAACATTTTCACTCACAAAATGCTGTTGAAAAAAAATTACATATTAACGTTAACTGAATTATTCAGCATTTTAAAATGCTTTTAACACCTTTCTGTCATGGAAATTTGCGTTTGAAGCAGTTTTCTGACAAATTAAAGTACTCCATTGTTTCCAGCGAGGGAACCTTCGAATAATGATTCACTGTATGCCAAGTGTAGTAGCAAAACCAGGCTCGAACAAATATTGTTCACAAAAACAATATTAATAAAAATTGGAAAATAAGTAAATGAATCAGTCTGAATCAAGGCACGAAATAACCTACTGGTTCGCTTGTATTTCCATCCCAAGCATCAGCTGCAAGATACTTTGACACCGCCATACTCATCTACCGCGCGGTAACAGCGGTATCATTCCTTTGACTGAAAACTCTTAGGCACGGACGAAAGACACTGTCTACCTACATGAAGAAATGAAATAAATAAGGTTCTAAACAGGGTTTTCTACATTATATCGACATAATTTTGAGCATAATAGCGAAGGAAATAACTTATCAAGCACTACGCTTGAATGATAGTGCAAAAAAAATAAATAAATGAGAAAAAAAGTGATTTCATAAAAACTTTGTCAAAACCGTAAGCAATAGAGGATTATATCGAGGTCTTCCTAATGCTAAAATACCACAAGCTTAAAGATGATTTTAATCTGCACTGTCTTTTTTTCTGTTTCCATTAACGCTCATATAAAGGGTTTTCAATCCCTTAACCTTGGTCTATCATTTATTTGATTTATTTTTATGTTAATCATAATGGAAGATAATGATGATGCTGTTTGAGCATAAAAGTGACCTTTTCTGAGCATTAAGAATTAACATGACAGTGTGCACATGGAGCATAATGTTGGCGACCCTAATTCTACAGTGAAAGGGCATAAGATCTCAGATTGTTCAGTTCAGGTAAATCCTTTATAACTGAAGCATAGTCAAAACACGTCTTTCGGGTATGGTGATTGCTCTTCTTAATGAAATAATGATGTAGAATCACGAGAGAAACAGAAACTTATTTTGAAGTTAATTATTACTGGGTTTAAAAGTGATAACAACAGTACAAACCGAAAAAAAAAGAGAACTTGAAAATAAGACAAACTTAAGAAAATAGGTGTAAAAGCAATAATTCAAATAGCCTAGTTTTAAGGCAAAGTAGTTTCCCGCGTAATATCTTTAAAAGTTTCTGTACACTTCATGACTGTTGTAATTAGTTGTTCCAGTCAAAACGCGTTGCTTTGTCTGCTTAGAATAACTTCACATGCATACTGAAAAGTATATGAAAAGGAATAAATCACGACAAACTATAACCTTACGAAACCAGCTGAGCTAGTAAATCCCTCACCATGACCGTCAAAAATTCTGGTCCAATATTTTGTTTTGGCGCGGGGGTGTGTCTTTAAAAGCCCCATTAGACAAAAGAGGTTTTAAATCAGGCTTACGTAATAAGAGTAATGAAGTGCGCAATTGCTACTATATCACTTTAAAGGCTTTTAACTCTGAGCAAAATATACGTGATAGCCTTTATCCTTCACTACATGTAGAATATTTTGCATAAACAGAGTCAGTAAAACGAAAGACTATATCAACTCTGTCTACACGTTTGCCAGGATGCAGGAAAAATTTTGAAGACGGTATTTTCAGTGATCCGTATCTTCACGATAAAAGAAGCTAGACGCCAGAATACTTAAATCTCAAGTGTTTTTATGCTAATGTTCGCGGTTTAATCAGTCTACACTCGGTCTTATAAAGCGTCTGGCCAAGCAGAAATTTTGCGCTCGATGAAAACAACACTTGATACTAAGTTGAAGGGAGGAGCTGTTCCAAGAGCGAAGGCTTTGTTCTGTTTTAAGCCTATATTGGAGGACGTGCTTCACCGGCCTTACACGATCGGCCAAAGAACTTAGTTAAAAATTCCATCATTATTTTACGCGATTTCTCGCGTTAGCTCGGGGCAAAATTTCTTCTCCCGCGCGCGCTACTTGAGTTTACTAAGAGCTGTCTCGTGATGTTCCCAAGGGACACCTAAAGTATGTTGGAACGGGTTTTTCCTGACTTAACTAGAAGTCAGAAGTTTTATCAGTCTCGTGTTTTTGACGTTCGCTCAGGACTCCGTTGCCGAGCCGGTACTCTACAGAAAGCTCTGGGAAAATTCCTTTCATACCGGACCAACACCACGAGTATGTCAGCCACGTCAAAACTTGCATCTAAAAGTAAATTGCGGCATTTTTGCTGTATTGACCATTTCTTTTTAACAAGATTTACGAAGGGTGACTCGGCAAATTGAGTGGGAACCGAGGATTTAAAATGAAACATTTCAATAAGTTTCCTTTTTACGAAAACCGCAAAACCATTGGTTCCCATGATCTATCAGTTAATCCTGGGCTTTTAAAACTCAAATTAAATTTTGCACCAATCAAAAACTCAGAGAGACACGGATATAAAAGGTAGCACAAGTTTTGAGTTCCTAAAATACTCGCAACGAATGCATTTGCAGCAAAACACTTCACGACAGGTCTCGGCATATACAGACAACAGCGATCTATTTGGCCTCAAATAACTTACAATGTTTACAAAAAACGCGTCAATATTTTGAAAACACGATGAAAGTTTGAAATTTTGCCCAGTTTCCTGGACCTCCTCTGCGCAATTGTTTACCTTTTCTGCGAAGAGTGTGAAAGCTTTTTGTTCGTTTTTATTATCGAGTGGATGTTCTGCGAGAAACGCGTTTGATTGAATGAACGCCGTGGTAGCTCGCCAGGCCAGAAAACAATGAATCGAAGAACAATCACGCTAATTGAATAAACAAGCAATATAATTCTATCTAAACACTGACAAATAGCGTCAGTCGAACTGACAAAACCAACCACAAAGCTTTAAAATACACTTGTCAAGTTGGCGATCCCACTAAGTTTCGGTTACTGAAAGTCGACCGAAACGCAATTTAGGTGTCTGGGATAACGTGTACTGCTAATATCGCACGGGAAGTCTACCGATGTCACTCAGTCCGATGCATTCTAGTAGGACTGAGGAAGCCGCACCTCAAAAGTTAAGTGATGATATTAGGATTCTACAGAACAAATGCGTCTTAGGGGGGAGGCCCAAAACAGGCAAATCTGGGCACAGAACAATGGTAAGAGTAAATATTGTCATTGGTGCAAATTAGAAGCTCATATTTGTTTGTTTTGGGTTGAAGTTGTATAGTCCTTAAGGGAGGCTGTAGTCGTGACGTACTGTTGTATATTCTCACGCTTTTCAAACTTCACCACCAAAGGCTACAGGATCGATGAGTAGTATCGCCTCGGTGTTCTCCGCGATGAATCGTGTTAAGAAATACTTGCGGATCGAAATGTGGTTTTTGATTTTCTTTCCCCTTTGTACTGCGTCGAATTCAAGGCTCATTTTTAGGCCCAGAGGTAGTGAATATCGCGCAATTAATCCCAAGCCTGGAGGTAAGGAGAACTTTTGCTAAGATTTCGTGGATTTATAGTCATTCTGTTTATTTATAGTCGGAGATTATACTGTAATCAGTAAACCATTTCCTAATCGCTTTAACAGCCATTTTTCAACTCAAAACTAAAGTGTGAAAGCGTGCGTGTTTATACATTCGTCGGTAATAATGACTAAAATCAATGTAAGAATTGCCACTGTGTACATTTTTGAAAACGATCACGCTTTCTATATTTCTAGCCCAAAATTTCGTCAGAAATTACTTTCGTGTCTCCATCTAGATAATTTTCCGCTTGACTTACAGAAGAGAGAGCTTCACCCTCAAGTTTGTCTTTAATTTTCGGAGAACTTTACAATTTCCCTGTTTCTACGTTTTTTAGATATTTAAGGAAAGACAGGGAAGTTGTAGGCAGACGTCATTGCATATTTTGCGAAAGGCGGCTTTCACTTTCCACTCATTCCTGCGATTTTATGGCGCGCGGAATATAACAGGCGACGTCACTTTCCGCATTGTGGTTTAATTTTAGTTTCTTACAAACGTTACGCACTGTCGAGCAATTCAAATTAAATAGCGTGAAAATTCCCGGACGACATGGTTTGAAATTAGGCGCGTATAGCTTACATAACACATTTACAGACAGCCTCTCAATGGTTGCAGAGGAGAGTGATCACGCATACAAAGTGGTATGATGTTGAAACCAGTTATTTGACAGTATGGAACATCGCTGCAAATTAAATCGCCGTTCATGTGATAGCACATGGTGCGTAACACACTCGTATTTTCTTGAAATAATTCTGGTTGATTCGTTTGGTTGTAGTTAATTGTCCTAGGTCCTCTCGCATTTAGGGGCCATATACAGCGACTCTTGAAATTCTAATTCTGTTAATGAGCGTTTTCATACTTTCACGGAAACAGTTCGGAGAGCCTTTCTCGATGTTAGCAGATTGACCCTGCACCACAGTTGAAGTTTTAGCCCTTCAAAGGATCGATTGCTAAGGAATCCGTTTAATTAACAACCTTGGATCCCCTTGGATCCCTTTGACGCAAATAGTAGAATTCAGTGCCTCAAAGGCCAGAACTATTCGCTGAATGTACAGTTTTAAAAGTTCTAAAGTGAGTTAAATCTTTCTTTTTTTGACAGGGTGTAATTTTGGGATTCAACATAAGGTTATCGACGAGAGCTGGCACCCGGATGTAGCCCCTTTCGGGGTTTTGTTTTGCGTGATATGCACATGCAGCAAGGTAAGACAACAACGCAACCTAGTGCTTTTTTTTTAGGCACACGGTTATATCTTGGTCGAACTAACGCCTGGTGCAGTCCTACACCAAAACAATTCGCTTTACGGTTCCATAAGTAAAACATCATTATTGAAATCAATGCAGTTTGGAAAGGCACACCCTAAACGCTCTCTGCCGCTTTTGATCTGATGCTATCACTTTCTTTCAAACGCGACCCCACGGCAAGCCACCGCAGATAATTTATCTTTTCATCCTCCTTAATCCTTTTCACCTCATGATTGTAGAAATTTATCGCATTTGTTTCTGCAATAGTGCAATTAGCACTCAATTGAAGCTAGGATCTCCCGGCTAGGTGTCTAATGAATCTCCGTGCTTCGACACACCTACTTTGTTCTCATTTCATATTTACAACAAAACACTTATTTGTTTGAATTCAATTCATTCGCCTATTAAATAGATCCTTAGTACAAGCATTCACAAAAGGCCTTGTCTACCCGATTCAGGAAAAGACTTTGTAATTAAACTATACAGCCGCCATACATTCTCAATTGCACGGGTCACGGGTAGACAAAATTATCACACGTAGCTCCATATGACTTCAGATAAAACATTTATTTGGAGAAATCTTTTCATTTTCTAGGTGTGTCGTCGAAAAATACCGGCAGATATCTAAAAATCATCTGAAAGAAAAATCAATTTTGAGGCTTGTCTTTTGAGATTACTAATTAATAGAGCGCAAACAAACTCATTTTAAAACACGAACAAAAAGCTTCCTTTATAGCTCCGTACCCCACGCAAAGGACCGCCATCGAATGAAAAGTTCCCTTTATTTTGTGACAGAATCCTTTTCTTTCTGTCCGTGTTCAATTTATTCGACGGAAACATGAGAAATGTTCAAACAGAGAGTAAACATCAGGAAGTGAAATGTCGTCTCAACCTACATTTGCGAACACCAACGACACGTCGAAACGACAAGCAGAGGTTTATCGCCGTAAAAATTTATGTTAATCAGATACATCATCGAGACTGGTTGGTTTACAATTTCATCTTTGAGCAGATAAATGCCGGCAGTTAATCCTCAATAACATCTTTAATTCGAGTCGCTCGGCCTTTCACTAGTTGTTTATTAGATCCGGAAATCCTGAACTATTGTAAAGGTTATCTGTCAAAAGTTCAAGTAGCTACAAATAAAAAAAGATGGAAAAACAAATAATAGAACCATTTTCAATTGGGTTTCGAGAGTAATCTGGGATTGGATTGGCTTTTCTTCACTGCGTTCAGGGAGAACTCGGACCAACTTCTCAACCAAACAGATGCAAAACTTCATCTATTCTCGGTTCAATAAATCGTATTTTCTCCTGTTTATGACTTTCTGCGTGTAATTACCATGATTTCAATGCTTTCTTTCGATCGATAGGAATGGGAATTGCGACTCTCAATCAAAAAGCCCTCTTTGTACTTTACTTCACCAAAGAACACGTTTTGATACATTGCTGCCACTAAGTAAAGAAATTGTCTTGAAGTGAACTACCTTCCCTTTACACTCCATTTTTTTGTAAAGATTTTAGCTTCTTGAGCTTACATCTAAAGTCGTTTCGTTTCTCGTAACAGATTTCAAACAACTCTGAAAAAGGGAAGGTGACATGTCGGAATATACGAAACCGCTGCCCAACTACATCATGTGCTCGGCCTAGGGTTGAAGAAGGGCATTGCTGTCCATCGTGCCCAGACGGTAAGACAACAAGATCATGAATAATCTCATTTTAAGCTCAAGAAAACTCTAATTAATATGGGAAAAAAACACATCTTCAGTGAGCTTCATTCAAACAGCGCTTTGAACTAGTTGAAGTGACCACAGAGAGCTGAGTATGTTTTGGTTTTTTAGAGTTATTTGCCGCGGACTATGTACTAAGTTTTTTTCTACAAATAAATTGTATACACAAAAATTTTTCTTCTTACCGTGTTATAAGATCAAAAGAGTATCCTAACCATTCTAAATATGTCTTCAAGTGTGCTGAAGATTCAACCACGAACGTCACTATTTTAAGAGCAACTCAGTAACCAGGCCGCACACAACGCATGATGTCCCAGAATTCAACTCAAATGGCGGGAAACACGACGTGCCTTGTCAATAAGCCTCACTGCTTTTATTTGACTGACCCTAAACCAAAAAAAAAGCCTCTTCGCCGGGTTGAGTAATTTAGCGGTATCTATCGATTGCTCTTAGCTGAAGGGTCAGGCAAAATGCCATCAATCACTAGGAACTTGAAGTTAACTTCGGTTCACTTGGCGCTAGCTGTGATTCTACCATTGCACGTGAATGATTTTGAAAAGAGGACCAACTCGCCAGTGAGCTCACTTAACAATTATTTAGGCGAAAAAGCGAAAATTCATTATGTAAACTCTGCGGTTTCCATAAATTAAATGGTTTTTTAAATACACACTTATTTTGTATCGTTTTTCTTTTAAGAGTTCATCTCATTACTGAGGGCACCTGCATCTTCAGTTTCCCGCCAAAATGGCGTGGGACGCGTGCATTTCACTCTGGTGCGAAACACACTTCACATTTCAATACGTTATGAAGGGTAAGTACTGATATTCTCGTTTCTGAGAATTTTGAATTTGTTGGTTTGATTCGACCACTTAATTTTAAATATTTTTCATCGCAAACCACAGGTCTCGGAAGCTTCGCATGGCTTCGTTTAAAGATTCCAAAGGATCACCACTGAAGGAAATAAACATTCCGAAAAGATCTATTAATGGATCCCAGGTTAGTACTTTTAAGATGGACCAAGAGAATATCTACAGTTGATATTCTCTTGTTACCTTGTCTGGATTGATTCGAGGACATTCGAAAATTTTAACCCTCTCCTCGTTCTCGACGAATTTTTATCCATGGCAAATTTCCGTTACCTTTTTCTCTGGCGTTTTCCATCTTCCCTGACGTTCGGCGGTACCCATATTTGCACCCTAGAGGAGTGAGGTATTGTGAGAATTAATAGTATTGCCTGAGAACGTCGTTTCTGTTTCCAAAGCTTGATTATTGATGCCTTCTAACGTAGGTATGCCTTGTGTGGAATCAACTGAGTAAAAAGAATATTGAATCCTTTAAACAAGGACAAGTTAGCATGGAATTGAAACTCAAGCGACAACAGAACGCAGTTGGACTCACTGGAGACATAATAAAGTACGATTCGTACTCGCAAGGTATGTTCCTCAAACAGATGTTGGAGACTTTACGCAAACCAAGACGGCGAAGGTAACAAGAAAATGGCAAGACAAAAGATCAGCTGAAAAATAGCACGGCTAGTGCGTTTCATAACTTTTTGCATTTCTTAGCCATATTCTGAAAAACGGCAACGTGAAATCACCAAAATATGCATGGTCTGAGAACGGAAACACCCAGCGCAAATTTGTTTCAGTTTCCACTTGGAACTCAACGCCGCTCATATACGTTATACTGAGGTTGAGGTGTGGCGCCTTACTAGACTGTAAACACTTTCAGCCATTCGCGACATTCAAACTGAAATATAAGTTCATTCTTAAATTGACGTCACGTTCCTTGGCGTTGCCGTCTTGACTGCTGAAGGTCCCTTTTGCTGATCGATATCACCATTGTCGACCCAGCGGGTGTTCTGTGAGTTTGGGTATATTATACATCGCTGAGAAGGGCAAAGATAGTATCAATAATGATGCCGACAATTGTGATGAGTTCAGTTATGAATATCAGCTCTGGAAAAAGCCGACGTGAATCAGTGCTGAAAGAAAAATAGACAGAAATCAAAATATACCTTACTAAGTAGGCCGCAAAATTTATTTCGTGATTTGATTCTTTTTCTATGGCACTTTCTCAGAGGAAAATTTCTAATCATTCGCAACGGTGTAAGTTGAGCATGATATTGTTTATACGCATTTTTCGCGTGTTTAGAACAAACATTAGATAAAACGGGAATTTCCTGCATGGATGAACCTCAAACCCACGAACCAGAAATGTGCTACATGCTCGCAATACATTGGGATACAATTGGAAACGACACTGGAGGCATTCGCCCGTGCATGGCACGGTTTTTCGTAAACTTCCTGCCATCTCTCAACCTTCCATACCTGTTTCTATAGTTATCAACATCAAACGGAGAAAACATCAATATGTTTCCTGCTTTCAAAGACAAATGTCTGGGTCTTTTTAACAACTTTCTGATGGTACCTAAGTCACAACAGGAAAATATAGAAAGAACTGAATTCAGTCGCAAAGAGAGACGTGATCAGCTTAATTAAAGAAGGTCAAAAGCAATTTGCTGTAATAACGATCATGGTACTAATTTTAAAATGAAGTTTTCATCACGTTATGTATAGGTTGTGTTTTTCTAAGGCTCCAAATTAAGAAAACCGTCTTCGAAATTGCATCAATTAAACGGTCTTCTGAGCCTAATAGATGTCTGCTATGAACATACATTAAAAGATATTGCGCGACGACATCATGGTGTTTAAGAAAGTTTTTACAAGCATTCTATCGTGTTTAGAAGTGATAATGGTTCAATTGGTTGTTGAACGATTATTTTGTCAATATCAACAACAGTCTTTGTATTATCAGCTTGCGATGAACTATATTTGATCGACGACACCAGCCTCAGGCGAAGTGAAATGCCCGGCGATGATATCATTATATAGGGGCGATTATGAACTAACTATACTAGCCTGTTTCCCAGCTCATAAGATTTTGCAATAAATTTCTTCCTTAGAAAGACACACGTCCTTTTTTTGGAGGATTTAACCTTTACTTGACATTCAAACAAGTTTGTTGACCAGCTAGTAGCTCATTTCCAAAGTTTACTTCTATCTAACTCTGGCCATGTTTATCCACACGCGTGGGATATTTGCAAGAGTTATATCTATGAGTGCGCTCAAATCTCAACTATCGGTATACCAAATCTGCACATGCAAACAGAACTTTCACTCGTCCTTCACCTTTTGCCTTTCCTTCACCTGTTCGATCAGATTGATCAAGTGATTTGTTTATTTGATTGCTACACAAAACAAATTTCTGAAATACATCGCTGCATATTGAGTCAAGTTCACGCTCGCAAAAGTATCTTCAGAAAAATTCAGTTCTATACTCTGCACTCGTTAAAGTGACGAGTGCGAGCTAATTATTCCATAGCAAGGTCCCGGGTCCTTCGTTTTCGACTGATTAAAGGTCATTTCAAGAAAATAAGACCACTTATTTTTCTCGGCCAAAGGTTTTCTTTTGGCTGTCAAATGTTCTCAAAAATCCAATACAAAAGGGTAATTTTGTTTCTTTAGATATCTGACTGCATATCTGGTGGTGAATTTTTAATTCTACAGCTTGTTTTTCATTTGGGAATTTCTTAATTTGCACCAGAAATAAGTTCCAGTTTGTTCATTTTGGTGAAGGATATTTTTAACCACATTGAGGGACGGAGGAGAAGATAGTTTTTCATACTTGCTTTCGAGAATGTGCGATTAAAGAAGTCCCCGCTTGCTAATTAGATGTGGAATAGTGCGCAGTGAAGATACAATGTTTTGATAAGGAGCGAGCTTAATATTTAACATTTAATTCATCTCTTTCCCCCAACTTTTTTATTACCAACTTTTGGCTGCTTCGATAAAAGTTCAATTTGGAATTCTACCAGAATACTTTTTGGCTTGAAGTGTTAGAGTGCAAATTTTTTTGAACATAAAAAGTAACACCATTCTACTAGAAAGGTTTTAATTCCGTTTTCTTCTGATTTTCACCTGTAGAAAGCTTCGAAGCACTGCTGTCGTCTGATGATGAGACATCCAATGCGTTGGCTTCTTTCAACTTGGCCAAAGGTGGAAAAATTCTCAGAATGAATCTCCGCTATGATGGATCACACAGCCTAGGTGAGAAAATGGCAAACAGGACATGTTGCATATTTATGGTTCGACTAAAGAGCTGATTCCAAAGTTAAATATTTTCCTTCGATTGAGCTCAAGCTAAAGACCTTGTGGTACACTATTGTAGGCTAAATGAAAATATTTTTTAATCTGAAAAGCATTCTGTTTACTTATTTGAAAGGTGATGTTAAAAGAATACTTTGTAAAGAAACATCGAATTTGTGGAAAACTGAACGTAAAGTAAAGAGCTGGAAGAAGATCTGTGATAGTCTCTGCTGTTAATATCTAACTCGATTTACACATCTCTCCTTGCTCGCAGGCTCAGAAACTCAGATCACGATCAAGTTGACCAGAAATCCTACCAATAACAGAGGAGCTCGTGATGTGAAAGCAATCGGCCCGTCACAAATTAAGCAAGAGGTGAACAGCTCTAGACAGAAACTTTTATCTTTCAAAGCGTTAGTAGATACCAGCGGACGCCAAAGCGAGGCGTTACTTGACGGAGAAAAATTAAAGTATTGTATGTTTATCTTTATTCTTCTTTGCAGAATTCCAACTTAAAAACGGCGTGGCAGAATCCTCCTGAGCATGTGCTGAAGTGGATGTCGCGTGGTTATCTAAATATCACTGTGATATTGAACACTGGAGATCAAAAGACGAAACTGACCGGTCAAATAAGCATTAAAAGAACTTGTAACAGTAAGTGACGGTTAATATTTTTTGGAACGTGCGGTCATTACAAGCGGTATCTTGCAAAGTTAATCCTTAAAGTACCCTGCAGATCAGGGTAAAATTTTACTCATTTCGAGTTGAATTCTTGTTATTTGGCTTGGGTCGATAACAGTTTTTCTTGGTTTTTTTTTCCACAGCCATTGTCTCCCAGCTCTCCGGTCGAGAAGCTCCAAGGCCCACGATGACAGGCGCCAGCGGTTATGCCTCCTTTGATTTTTTCAATAATGGTCAAATACGCTATCAGGTAATTTATGTTAATTATTCGGCAAATGAAACCTGTGGCTTAACCCAGGTTTTAAGGTAGAGCATTTGTAAAAACTTGGCTAAACTGGTAGGTTAGAGTAACTATTAAGCACGTGTCAGTGGTAATCGAGAATTGCATAAAAGGAGTAAGTTTCTAAAGAAACTGTGGTGCTGCGCCCGTGGGAGAGTATAACGGGGTAATTTAGTATTATCAACCGAGTTCATAATGTAAATTGGCCACCATGAAGGGTTTAAAAGATTTACGGTGGCCAATTTACGTTATCAACTCAGTTCATAATACTAAATTACCCTGTAATCAAGAGTTGTTTATTTGTTGTTGCAGATTTTGCTATCGGGTATGGTAAATCCTGTGATAGAAATCAATCTTCAAGCCACAAACCGCAAGCAAAAAGTGAAAAGACTTTCACGCTCAGTAAGCTTTGATGAACACGGACGAATTAAGGTCAGTTTCTACAGAATCAAATTGCAGCGTAAACGAACACTTAGACTTACCCAAGGTTAAGTTGTAAACTTAACTCTGTCAAAAGGAGAGATGCATGTAACACACTTGTCATGTACGTAAGTACCTAATCGGGAGAATTCGAACCTTGCTTAGTTGCGATTACATGACTGGATACTCTGCCAGGCTAAATGGAGCTACAAGAGAGCTCTTTAAAACTTGATGCATATATCACAGGTGTACTGTATAATTTTCACAACGGCAACATCGAGACTTACAGTTTGCATTGGTGTCAGTGTAAAGAAATGGTAAATTTTCCAAAAAAATGTTTAACTTGTGTCACGAAAGCCTCTTTCTTGGCATTTTATCAGAAGTTTCATTGAAGTCACTCAATACGTACTCCCATCTTTACCTTTTCATGCTGATCGTTTGTTCAAGTGGATGTTTATCCTTGAAATTAAGATCTCGTTGCATTTTAGTTGACAGGGGTGTGGCTGAGGCCATCATTTCAAGAAATTTGCTGGTTATTTAGTGGCAATATATTCATCAATGTCAGCACCCAGGCGAACAGGGGAGGAGAAATGTATGGACAACTGAAACAGTTTCCCTTTAGAGGACACCATTTGTCATACCACGGTAAGGAAGTAGATTAGGTTGCATGCTTCAGTTCCAATCAAGTTTGTTTTTTTTTTTAACCTGTGTTTACAATAAATAGTTTAACATCCCGTGGCAGTGTTGATGAAAACTGCGGTCATTTGTTCCTTGAAACTTTCGCTCAACCCCGCCCCAACTCCTTGTTCAAAAACTCAGTTGGCACAGTTTTATTCAGGAAACTAGTAAGGAGATTTAACTCGTTTAACTTGAAATTTTTACAACGAATTTTCCCAAGTCAACTCCTGCATTTCATAAATCTTTGAGGCTGAACCCTCTATGATGTAGGATTTCTCCTGATCGAGAGCAATTTTTTCCTTCTCCTAGAGAGTTTTTGTTTTCCTCACTGCCGTTCTTTGTAATCCTAAAAGGTGTCCTCAAATGTCAGTAAAATACATTTCCCCCAGCGGCACGAAGACAATGCTCTCCTTTGCCAACAGAAATCGCTATTCCCCTTTCTCTAGATCCACCGACTCTCTTATCTGGTAACGAAGTTGTTCCCAGGATTCAAACTGGCGCCGCGGGGCAGGCCTGGTTTTCACTCGACAAGAGCTGTGCACTGCACTATCACCTGATCCTCAGTGGCATGGACCGCGGGCGCAAGAACATGAGGACTGCAGAACTCTTAGGCTTTGCGGATTATGGCGAGGTGCCCCAGTCGTACGATGAACGTGTGCACTTGTTACGATCATTTGAAGGAGAAACGGTTGGTGTTCGTGTTGCTTGTCATTAATGCAGCAATTTATGTTCACTATCAAAATGGGGTTATACGCGAATGCAAGTCGCTGTGATTCATTTTTATCCCTGCGAATATTGAAAGAATTCAAATCAGTTTATATCCGTGTAACTAGTTTCACGGAGAATTCTCCGTGTCACACGAAGCAAATTACCGCTACAAAACGTCGCTCAGCACGTGCGGGCAGAACTTTAAACCTTCACACTACTGTGATAAATCTTTCGTTTACCTGAATCGCTCTGACCAATATTGGAAGGATAAAGTTATAGGGAAATTCAAATTAGCAAGAATTGGCCTGCCTTTAAGCTATGATATAACTTTGTGACTCTATAAGCTTTTCAGTGGATGGACCGGCAGTGTTTTTCTTTTCTTCAATAAGTTTTACTTTAGGATTCGAATGAAATAAGAAAACTCAGGAGTAAATTTTATCATTCGAATTTGCGTTAAACGCCGTTCTAAAAATTTCCCCAGACGAAGTGATGACGCACTCCGACAACAAAGTATTCAAAACGTTAAGAACGTCGTCGCTTTGTAAACACGACGTGCGGACCTATATATTGCCCTGTCGTGGCGACCTCTCATGGAGACGTCAGGTCGCATACGGGAAAATAAGATTACTTTACGTCCCGACGATTCCGAGCTTTTACCGCGTCATTCTTTCAATTCTCTTTGTGTTTGCAATGTCCCCTTAATCAATTTCAGAGCTGTACAAAGCGCGGATCTCCATGATTCTTTAACGTACGTCAAATGTAGAAATCACAGTTTAAAAATTTCAGATCAACTTCGCACATCTTATTAAGTAAAAAACGAGTTCGCATTATTAATATTATTTCCACTAAAATATATTTGAAAATTTAGCAATATACCAAACAATCAAACTATATGCAATTAACGATATAGAGAGAACATTAATCAACTATAAAATCTTAAGTCTAAGTAATTACACTACAAAATTAGTGTACATTTGTCTACGTTAATTTATTAATCAATTAATTTATTATATTATTACATTAATTTATTATATTATTTATTATATTTATTACTACAATCGTCTTCATACTGCTGCTTAACTTACTCTATAGAAATAGCTCCACGTTTCGATCTGAACCTTTATCAGTGTGTTGATAAAACGTTAGCAAACTGTAATAGTATTATCGTATCGAACGTCAGTGGATATTTTACAGCTGCAAACGAAAATTTCAAAAAATTTAATGAGTAAATCTTCATTTCTCGCAAGATACTCCTTGATAACTCAATCGTGCAGGGGTAATATCAAAGGGGAAGATTTGAAAGGGGCAGATGCGAGGAAAACGCACGCAGAAGCGAGGAAGGAGGAAAGCCATTTGACGTTGTCTCGCGTGCTTCCTCGCGCGTTTCTCTCATATCACATGTGTCTCGTGGCTTCCTACGTTCAGTCGCACTTTTCTCACAAAATGTGCGTTTCTCATCAACTACTCGCCTGTCTCACAGGTCAGCGATTTATAATCGAACCGTTCACGCCCGTTTTTTAGATCTCTGGCTCCGCGCGCAACATCGAACCAGAGTTCCTTGGTAACCTCATTCGCGGACTTGTTTACCTGCAAGTGAGAAGTGAGGAAGTCCCACAGGGAGAGCTGAGGAGCCAAGTCTTCTTAAACGAGGACAGCTGTAGTAAGAGACTTCCTCCTAGAGGGCGGAACGAATTGCCTGGCTCTTGCCACTTTGGTGACAAAATATATTCAGATGGGGAAAAGTGGGTCTCTGAAGATGATAAGTGCACATCGTGTACTTGTGAGGTACCTTGATATGAAAAAGAAACTTCAATTTTGGAAATTGATGTTATTTCTTTAGGTAAATATTAACAATTCTGTTTTAACTACCAACAGGACAGCGAAATTGTTTGTGCCCCTCTTAAGTGTCAGCGGTTAAACTGCACAGAAGCACCTATCATGTTACCTCATCTATGCTGCCCGGTTTGTCCAGGTATTTTGAACGATTTTTGATGATATAAAAAAAATCATGTAGCTCAGTGTTTTCAAAGAGAGATTCTAGATAGAGTTCATGTGATCGACTCTTTGTCAAAGAAAAGCATTATTTAAAATGAACAACCATAAATGTTCCAATACCACTAAGACACAAGTGAGGATACAAACCCTTTCCCTGCTACAAAATCTCCCCTAGCCCCAACCCCTGATACAATGTTTCCGACTGAGAAATTATATTTGTCTGAGGTAAAAGGTGTAGAAAATATAACATTTATCAATTTTTTCTGTCAGCTATCGAAGAAAAAGTTGTGAGATATTACGAAAAGAGGCAGCGTCCGTCCTTGAAAGGATGCTATGTAAAAAGAGACAGAAAAGTTTATCCAGTTGGCGCTGTGTGGTATCCCTATGTACAGCCATTTGGTTACATGAGATGTCACGCCTGCACATGCCTGGTAAGCGGTTGTTTACATAATCACATGCGCCTGTGAATATTTATAAACTACTATTATGGCTCAAAGGTTTGTTTTTAGTCGTTGTTTTTATTTATGAACACACGTTTTCCCATATTTTTTCTCAGAAAAAATCAGAAGAAATATCATGCACTCAAGTGAAATGCCCAGAACTTCGATGTAAAAATCCAATCAAAATGCGCATGAGTGACTGCTGTATGCGATGCCCTGGTAAGGAGTGTTTCAATTAGCGTTATGTGGGCGTTATGTAACATATTACAGTGTATAACTTCCGCAAACCTGAATTGAGAGAGTATGAGTTGAACCGAGTAAAGCTGGGGAAAATAAAAACCAAATGAAATTTTTTTGAACGAATTCCATACTAAGAAGATCCTCATCTTTTTGTTCCAGATGACGAGGATTCAAAATCAAATGGAGGCAAGAAAGTTAGAAAAGGTAAAATTAATTCAGACTTATATATTCATGAACTGTTGTTACTTTCTTAATGCTTATAACAAAGAGGCTGACGGCATTTTTCATTAATAATAATTTCCCCAGACAAATTACTAAATTGAAAACATTATAGAAGGCTTAATAACTTTGACTAAGTGTATCATCATTTCACTGATGGTTAATGTTTTTAGCAGAATGGTTCACTAGCGTGATGTTAATCCTTGAATTTTACTTGGTCCGATGCGATTACAAAGACAATTAACAGAAAGTTTGAAATGTTATCTATTGTCAACTTATTTCTGATCTTTAGGCTGCACCTTACGTGGAAGCAACTATAGACACGGACAAACATGGAGGCCATATTTCCCGATATTTGGCTCTTCAAGATGTATAACGTGTAGGTGCCAGGTGAGACGGTTTTTACTGCATTTCCTTTTCTAAAAAATGGCGGCCAAAAAACATTGGTCAAGACTACTCTTGTCTCTATCTCAACCGATCAGATGCAAAACTAAAACCAACTGGGACTTACTTAATCGTGCGCCTCAGTTATTTTGCTTGTTTTTACCTTTAATTTTTATCGGCCACCTGTAGTATTTTCCATAATGTGCGATTGCTTTGATTGGTCGTTAAGCTTACTATGGTAAGCAAAATGCGCTCTATGTTCCGTAATTGGCTGCAAAAACTTGTAGGTGCAAGTCAGCTTATGAACGTCAAGAAATCATAGCGGAGCTCACAGGGCGTAGCCCTATAATTATACAAAATAGTAGTGGCCATCAAGCCGAAAAAATTTGGATGTACGACCGTACAAGGTACTACTTTTAACATGCGTGGTCAACTGTACCGCGGGCACGCCAACGTTACGGCTTTGTTCAGTAGTCCAGCGGTCAGTGCACTGGGCTCCGAGCCGGACGACCCGGGTTCTATTCCTGGCTGGGGCAAGGCGTTGTGCCCTTTAGACGTGCGGGGGAAAAAAATGCGAGCTCCGCTTTTAGGCTTGGCTAAATCTGTATATTAATGCTTTGTTACAAGTCAGTCACGTTCCTTTCCATTGCCTGGCAGAGGAAAATATTGCGCTTTTCCACAGTTTTCTCTTGTTTATGTCTTTTTCTTGTTCCCTAAAATGACATGTCTGAGTATTTATTAATCATAATTTCACAGATGATTACAGTAGTGTGACAGTTTTGTTCCTTGATTCACAGAACGGGCGAACGCACTGCTCACGAGATCCATGCCCGAAAGGACAATGTAGAAGTACGCTCCTAATTGGGGCATCGACGAGTTGTTGCCAGGCGTGTCCAGGTAATCAAAAATGAACGTGTTTAAATGTTTCCTTTTGAGAAAACGTCATACGTGATTTGAGGATGGCAAAGGGGGAGGGGGATGGTCTTTATTCCGTTTCACGCACGAATTTAGAAGGGAAACTTGAACTCTTCCCTTGCCTTGCCTTTCTGTCTAAATTCAGGCGTCACGAATTAATTTTGGGCTTATGTATACATTCTATTCCACCCTCTGATCTGCATTCGGAATCCCTTTGAAAAATAGAAGCAGAAGGCTTCTTAGTGCCTGCTTGTGCTCTTGAACAACTTTTAAAGAATCTTCGACTGAGAAAAGTAGGTTCCCTAAATGGTTTTAATCTTATTTGTTTATGTCTGCCTGAATATGTTGGTTACTCAGGAGTGTTTTATTAACTTGACGTTTTTGCTGCTTGTTTAGGATCGTGAGACCGACTATCAACTTTAAACAATTCTCCCCGAGGGATGATCTTGGAGTGAACCACATAGTCTGAAGTCTGTTAAAATGTCCGAACATACTTCAACGATAAATCCAACACTTTCACCTGACGATAAACGCACGACAAAAGATCCAGTGATTAATTTGACTTCCATTCGACGATGGCATAACTACTTTGGCCATAAAGCCGGATTAAGAAACTAAAAATAATTTCTATACTTTCCTGTGAGAGGAAAAAAAAGAGACCTCAAGCTCAGATAATGTAAAATATTCCCCTTAACTTCAACTCGTGGGGATTTTTCAGCGACACTTTCTTCGTCTTTGGCGAGTTATATTCATTAGACAGGTAGCCTTTGGTTATGTATGTTTAACGCTCAAAAGGCTTGTTCCTTTATTCTGAACAAGGTAATTTAGTCCTTAACGATTCCATCGTGATGAATTTGTTATATTAAAGACCCAGGGTTCTACCATAATCCTTCCATCCCAAAATTCAATGGGTGATTCTCCCTACTTCTGTACTTTACGTTGTAATATAGTAGCCTTTAGTGTCGAACAGCGCTTCAAGTTTGAGCATCGTAAAACTTAGCCCATAATAATCATAATGGCCAATCAGAGCGAAGGAAAAACCTCTAAAAGATAAAGAGAACTCGGCGCAAAACAAAAGCGCGGGAAAATGTAAGGAGTTGCCATTGGTTTTAACTTGGCATTTGACTGGCTGACATGGTGGCGCGAGTGTCCTGGACCGATCATAGAACATAGTGAGGCACAACCAGTACGGATTACTTTGGACACTCAATCAACAATTTCTCAATGAACATAACACCTAGAGCTGATCACTTTAACTAATATCATCACCTCTTTACTTGATAATGCAATTGCATTGTAAGGAGAAGCTACATATTAATCTCACCTGGAAGTTGGGGGGGGGGGGGTAAAAAAGTAACTAGGTGTGGCCAAATGACTTGCGCACAAAGCAGAGTTTGTAAAATAATTGTAATAATCCCATTCATTATCCTTCCCTGCCATCATGTAAATTGCAGGTCTTATATTCCTTTTCCCATAGATTCTCCCCCAATTTACTTCCCCACACAGGCTCCCCAACCCCTTCTGGCCAAATTATGAGATAATGTTTCTACTTAATTGTTAGATGACAATTGATTTTTTTAATTTATTTCCAATTGGACATATCCAGTGATTGTGAACGGATGTTCATAGATGTTAAAATAATTATTGCAAGTGACACAAATTAGTGAAAAAACAATCTTTGGAGTTCTCCAAAGTTAACTTTCTTGTTAATATATTCTGCTTTGTAGATAGCCATGACAATGTGAGATAACAATAAAAACATTTTTTTTAACTTTCATATACCACTGACTGTAAGTTTCACCTCAAGAATTCAAATGAAAAAACTTAATTTTTTGTTAGGACTTGAAAGGCAGGCTCCCCTCCACTGCAAGCTTCAACAAGAAAGGCAAAGGGGGCCTGGTTTCCATGGCTTGATTCCATTGAGGTTGCAACTTGCAGTTGAAAATGAAAATTTTAGTTATATATTGTATGATAGAGGAATGCTCATAACATATAAAATAAAACATTCAAAAGTTGAAATGTTGTGACAAATCCTGTCCCTCTTTGAACTAGTAAGTTCAGATCCTCCAAATATTCTAACAAAGTACACATTGTTTCATAAGAGGTACCAAACAGTTTTTCATTCTACTGAGTTTTGCACCAACCTATCACTCTCTCATAGCCTACTCTGGGAAATAAAGATTCAACCACAAATTTTGCCTCTATTTCTTTACAGCTTCAAGTTATTTTTGTACATTCAATTTAACTAAGAATTAAGGGGGCCATGGCCAGTCTAATAGAACAGAAACCATTTTGAAGTACAAACAAACACTTCAAAAGAAATTTAACAACTTCAAAAGTTTAGGAACACACAATTATTATAGACAAATTAAAAGACTTATCCTAAGTTGGTTACTTTTAAGAAAATCTATTTAATTTTCAAACAAGAAGAATTTAACGCAAATGGACATGCACACCAAGTTTTAGTCTTCTATGACCTAAATACATGAAGCCTTCATCTCAATTGAAGATATCTACAAGGAAGGTGAGCCATAAGGAATCACCCACTCATCTGAGTAAAAGGTTCATATCATCTTACTTAATTGTTACTGAATGTTTCTACATTCCAAATTCATGACAACAAAGATAGCAACCCTGTCTTTCAGAAACCTCAAACATACTGCAGATCAAGGTAAGGCCATCTTTTCCCCATTCTTACTGGTGTATGCAGTTTAAAAAATGATGTATGGTGAGACTTGTACATTTCTCCTTTTACCTTATCCCACAAAATAAACAAGGGAGAAAATGGGAAATAGAGGGCATCTAGAAATCTAATATCAATAAACTTTATTTAAAAACAAGAGGATTCTTTTACGTCTAAGAATCTGCCTCATACACGTAAATTTCCGAATAAAATGGTTGCACAGTCGTAAGTAAGTAAAAACTAGATACGACTGACATCTTGAGTGTACAGTGTTATGTAAACTGTAATAACCTATAATTTAACTCCTTCTAATTTTTCCTCACAGTACCACACTTGAATCTAATGTAAAGATCCTGAGAATAATGGAAATGATCACCAATTTAAGAGGCTTCCTGATTTTCAAACAAATTCTCCTTGGTGGCACCCCATAGAAAATGTAGGTCTTAAGAGTGAAGGTAGGACAAGCATACTTTCCCTATAGTTTGGTACATGCATGAGACATTGAAAATAACCTTTTTTCCTTAACCAACAGACCTTAACATTGACACTTTTTAGATCAAAATTAATAATAATCAACAGAGAGGAAAATCAATTTCAGATGATGAAAGATGAGGTTCTGAGGTTGCATTTTTATCAACTCAGATGTACACATCCTGTTAGCCATAACTAAAAATTCTACTGTACAACTTTGCAACAATAACTTTTTGTCCTTTAACCTTATGATTTCATCACATCACTTGACTCATCTTTGCCTTTGTATTTCTGTTTTCCATAAGTAAATGGTAGATATCGGTACCGTATCATATGCTGCAAATAAAAAGAAGAAAACAAAATAAATGCTGTTCAGGTGGTTTTGGGCCAAAATGCGATTCCTCTTACCTTAATTTGTCTCTTCATTGTGATGATAAAAAGTACAATAAAGTACATGACTAAGATGGGCCAGAACACAGGGATGTTAAAAAATTCAAAAAATGTACATGCTATGGCAATAACAACAGCTCTTGTTGCTCCATACCTGAAAAAGAAAACAGAAAAAGGTGATCTAACTTTGCTAACCTAAAAAAACAAACTCCAAAAATGATAATCTCCCACCCACCAAATAGAAAAAGGCATATCCTTGAATTCTTTACTTCTGAACACAATGAATTCCTTATCTGTACTTGTATTTTCAACAAATACAGAACTGAATTTTAAGCTGTCATATACACCTTAAGTCACTGTTATAGATGTCAAAATGTGGTAAGAACCAGCAAAAGAAAAAAAACAAAACAAAAAAACAGGGATGATACAGCCAACTATCATTCACAAAAAGGACTTACCAAAATTTAAACTCTGGTAACCTTCTGATAAAAGGTCTGAACTCCTGATCAGCTTTAGTAGGAAGTTCAGGCCCATCTTCTTCTGTAAAGATAACAGTAATAACATGTGAGATATACTTACACTGTATCTGTGGTGAACAAACCAAATGGTTAAAGGGAAATTATAAACTGAAGAAACTACCCTAATTACTCTAGATGGAGCTGAGAAGAAAGAATCAAAGAAATTAGCATTTTATGGTATGGAAAATTGAATGGATGGATGCACTAGACAGGGACAAAGATGGCCTAATCTGCACAATGTAATTGAATGAATGATAAGAATGCCTTTCATGCAGGCTTACCATACATACTGTACACAGATGGGGGATTAAGTCTCAAAGAGACATGAAGTAAGTCAATAATAGTTTTTGTCTCTTGCTCTTATACTATAAAAAGGCAACTTTCATTAGTTAGTGTAGGTCCCTTACTATTCCAATTTTTATATGTACCTTACCAATGAAAGGTTGCATACAATGGCCAACAAACAACCAACTTCGCAGTTTAAGCCTACTACTTCACTCATCAAACACAATCCAGCTAGGTGAAACTAGCTAGAGGACATTGCCTGCCCTCTGGCAACAATGGCTAACGTTTCTAATTTAAAGAAGACCTTGCCAGTGGCAATATGTCCACTTAAGAAAGAGGGAAGAGCCAAACATTCAGTAAATCCAAAAATGATTCTAACACTATCCTTGTCATTTCCACAAGACAGAGCTGCCATTGCCCCTTAAAATTGTAAAACTATGGTATGTCACAAAATATACTGTATGTGCACCTATGATAACATGTACTGTGCTGTATATCAAATAAAAATTATTAAAAGAAACACACCTAGGTCCTCCTCACCTAATTCTTCTAAAGCTGGATCAATTTTAGGTGTCAAGAATGCGATAAACAGGTTAAGGTGGTAAATACCAAGAGCATATGTGACTATGTACCAGCCCTGAAAGTAAAGGAAAACATAATTTGATTACCATTCTTTCTTTAAACTATGATGCCCCTAAAGTTACTGCATTACTGGTCATCAAGCAAACCTCAAGGCAAACTTACCACAAATGAAACTATGAAAAGTTAACGCAGAGGTTAACAAGCAAACACAGGTGCAAGAAACAAAAGATGATCAAAGAACATTTGGAATAGGTTGGCCTGACTATCAGTTTTTTAGGCAACTACAAGGCCCATTCAAATAAACAATGACCATTCCACAACAGAGAAAACAAGCAGCTAGCTTATACATACTAATAACAAATACAAGTAAAAGTATAAACTTGTATGCTTGTATGTCAATGCCAGTATTTGTATCAGCCTTTTATTTTGGTGCCCTTGTCTTTAAGCTGCACTGTCCCTTGAACCAACAAAAACTCATATCTGCAGGAAACTCAAGAATATCTTGATTTCCCCTTCATGAAAGGTATGGTGAAAGGTAAAAAAAAAACCACAAACACAATTAACAAAATGCTGCTACACTCCAAAACTAGAACTATCTTGAAGCAGCCCTGTCACTCCAGTCTAACCTTCCACAAACTTCAACTCCCATTAGCTCAAGCATTGTTCAATCCCCTTAACCCTTTGACTCCTGTGAGTGACCAAGACCAAATTTCTCCTTACAATATCAATACAATATTAACCAGATAAGTAATGAGAATAATGAAAAATATCAATTTGGGGATAATTAGTTGATCCAATACTAAATTCTCTGAACTAACATCATAAGAAATGTATAGTTGACAGTAAGGAGAATTACAAATTTGATCTGGGAGTTAAAGGGTTAAGTGGTTCCAGCTATTGAGAATCAACTGTAGCAATTAAACTCATTCTCACATTATCTTACCTGAAGATAAAGTACCCTGACGAGAAACAGCAGTATCATAACCAGAGTTGAAATCCATCGTAGCGCAAGATGTGGAACTGTTGTGTCAAGAAATGTTTGGTATCTCTGTGGTGGTGAAATTACACGAGTTTATCAAATTATAGGATATTGAACATGAAATTACCATTATATAGCTGAGCTAAAACAGGAGCATTAGCACTTAAAAATTACTATTCGATTGAACAACTTTCTATATCATTTTAAGTTTCTAGGATCAATTCCACGCCATCCTTGAATTCATGTGTAATTACTGGACTTGAGATACATTAGTACCATCCTCCTGTTTAGCAGCCATATCCTTAAACAAATGGTGTGCACATTTAGAGCAAATTTTTTTACCTGGGATATTGTTATAAAAATCTTTTTGACAACACCCGGCTGACCTGGCCGACTGTCTTCTGAGGGATCATCCATCTCTTTCCTAAGAGCAAATAACAATGCATTTCATTATACAGTACCACTCACATATAGGTTAACTTTGCAGACAAATTTTATCAAACATTCACAAGTTGTAAGATCCATATATTTGCAAATATATGAGCATATATATGTGCATAATGTGCATCTGATGTGTCTTTGTTAGTCAATATTATAACTTTCCTTTATGTTGCATTGTTGTTTTGGGTCTAAAAAAGCAAAGAGTTGACAATGAATAATAACATATTGAAAGAGCAATCCTGTAACACAGATGCATGTGGGATTGCTTCACGTATTCATTGAAGAATAAATTTGCTTGATCTTCTGCTGTTGATGGATCAGAAACAAAAGAAAATGTAACTTAAACTCTGCATTCAAATGCATGTATCATTTGGCAAATTTCAAAGTGAAACTTGAAAACCACTCAAAGAGTTCACCTGCTACTCTCAAGCTTTAAGTCACACAATACAATGAATTTAAAGAAAACCTCTGATGTCATATTGCACTTTATATTTCCATAGAGACCTATTAATTTGTCTTGACTGAGCAGAAGAGAGAAATAAAAGCTTAGTTTTTCACTTGTAGAAAGTAACTGAAACTCATGTGTCAACCTCAAGGGACTTTTCAACTGATCCAAAAATTGTATGCCCATTTCGGAAACGAATTTAAACAAAAGGATAAAACTATATGAAGAACTGATTTTTTTTCTCGCTTAGATATAAACTCCATTTCACTTACTTTCCAGTTGAGCAAAATTAATTCTTTAAAAGACACGACAAGACTCCCAAGCATGGGGTTTAGAATAATGTCACCATTGCATATACGAAGAAAAATGCTGGTATCTTTGAAACCAGTTAATACTCGGCCGTAAAATTTGAAATCAAGCAAGGGAAAGAATGTTTGTTCAGAAGAATTTTACGCTAAATCAAATTGAACTTCGCAGGATACCCCTATCATTGATGTTAACATGTCATCTCACGCCACAGAATTACGATAAAAATTATGGCGTCAGTTTCTAAAATCATCAACTAGTGAGAACTTGAGTCACTTAATAAACTGTTCAACAATGACCTGCGATCCTTTGGTGTCTTTTTTATCATCCACGAGTCTCTAATAGCGGTAAAAAAATTTAAACAGCTGCCTGATAATTCGCGAAACCGATAAAGATACATTAGAACTAAACACACACAAAGAACAACTCTTAGAAGTCAACAAGCTTACAGCTACAATGTCAAATGTTAGTACGTCTTTGTACCGATCAATAACTCACCCGATTACAAACTGTCTGATGTTTCAAATCACCAATTTGATGAAATAGGAAAGATCAAGATTCTGTATAATTCCTTGACGTCTATGTCGCCACGTTGCAAACCAAGGTACATTCAGCGGTTAATATTGTAAAGTATATGCGTAACAATGAAAGCGAGAGAGGAGTTATGGGTAAGTACCAGTTACCCCCTTCATAAAAGCCCCCACTATTTGACACAACATACTTCTGGAGTATCGCTGATTTGCGTTATTACCCCTTTTTCTAGTGCTGTTCGTTTTCTAGTTTAACGGAAGCCTTTGATTGTTGCCAAATATGCCTGCACAGCTTTAGAATCGGGTTTCATTTATATTTCAGGATCAAGTGACAAACCATTCAATACAGCAACAGCAACTATTACTGTTATCATAGTTACTTTCACATGAAGTAAATTAAGAGGGTCCCCTATACCCCTTTTGTTAAACTCCACGCATCAAGAATATCTATAACTCTTTGAGGTTCGTGCGAAATTTGAGACGATCCCATTAAACATAATAGACCCTACGAATTATTATCACAAACCTGTTTTGCGCCTTTAATTTCATTGATTCATGTCCTGTCTTCACCTAACCACAGCCGTTTAAGAATGATATACACATTTTCAAAAAATAAATTAGCCCAAAATTCGTCGCGCAAAAATGGTGCATGAATAGCTTAGAGTTCTTGTACGGCCAATTGAATAGGTGAATAAAGGAACAAAGATGGCCTAATCTACACAATGTAACTGAATGAATGATCAGGATGCCTTTCATGCAGGTTTGACATACTGTACCCACATAAGGGATAAAGTCCTAAAGGGACATGTAGTACAACAATATTAATATTTTTTATTCTCTTGCTCTTAGCCCTTTAACTCCTATGAGTAACCAAGGCAGAATTTCTCCTTACAATATCAATACAACATCAACCAGATGAGTAATGAGAATGAATAAAAATATCAATTTGGGAATAATTAGTTGATCCAATACTAAATTCTCTGACCTAATATTTTAAGAATTGTATGGTTGACAGTAAGGAGAATGACAAATTTGAACTGGGAGTTAAAGGGTTAAACAGGCAACTCTTACTAGTTAGTTTGGATCACTTCATGTAGTACCCCTGCTCTTCCCCTTTTTTAATTGCCTTTACCATGCCCATAAAAGGCTGTGTACGATGGCCAGTGAAAAACCAACTATGCAATACATGTACTTTGTAAACTCTTCATTCACATGTCATGTTTAAATAAGGAATTTGTTTGAAATAACATGACATAACATGAAAATATCTAATCATCTAATTCAATCACAATTCATGAATAAAAGAACAATTTAACATACAATTCACAAGAAAAAAATTATTTCCCAATCATACTTCTCTTAAGAAGGATAGGGGACCCTCACTAGAGTGCAGGAGAATTTTTAGACTGCCATTTTAGAAAAGCCTTACTTGGGGAGAGCAGGAAAGGAGGAGGGCACTGGTACAAGTCACAGACTTACTTTATGGCTACAATGATTTTAGCAATCCAGTTTAAACTTAAAAGAGTTTTTTGCTATTTTTGCTATTTTTCAGAATGTGTGTTTCCAGAAAATATCCATACCCCCACCACGGAGGGAATTGGAAATTCCAGAGGGGTGGGGGGGTCAAAGTCCCAGGAAATTCCAGAGGGGATGGGGGGTAAGAGGCGAAATTTTCGTCCAGAGGGTAGGAAGTCGATCGACTTTCTTCGTATGTCAATTGGCGCCTTTTACCTACTTTAGTGGGACGTTCTGAAGTTTAAGTTGTTAAATTACGATGCTTCTAACAGTTCTGCAGCAAAAGAAAGTTTTCTTTTATCCTTGTAGCGCTTTGGAACATAAATAACATCAAATAAAGAAGAGAATCACTTTGTTTTTCGAACGGAGCCGCCATTACTCGTTACCAGTCTCCAAAGATTACAACCAACAGGAGTGGTTACCTAGGGATTTTCCTCGGTCATAACACGTTTCGCGTTCGTAAAATTTACAAATAACTGTCTCGGTCTCGAAAAAAAAAAAAAAACGCTGGTCCCGCCGTCTCGCAAAGTTTCGCATAAATTTACCATTCACTACCCCTTATTGACTCCAGCCATCTATTAATTTTGATCTGCACTGAGCTTAATTCCGTTACATCATAATGTGTAGGAGACTTGACGATTTCTTTATGGCTTACTTGCTTGCGATGTTACAATGAATGATAAGTACAGTCGTACCGTAGTAGAAAACAGTTGATAGTAACATTGAGAAACATTAGGATCCAGGGCTTTGTATATATGCGCGTGGGACTGGTAACTAGCCAAGGTTTGTTTATATGTTTATGCACAATCGGACGAAATTATCGACCCGCTGTTAACAAGAATCAATGCTTGTGTGGAGAAATTTTACATTAGAGGCTGGAATTTGGAAAGATGAGTTCAAAATAACTTACTGCTGACTCGGTTTTCTCTTTTGCTCTCTTATTTATGACACAATTTTGTACAAATTTACGTTGCTCAATGTGATTTCGAACGTTTCCATTTCAAGTGCACGCAATTTTCTCAGTACATTGTACAAACCTAACAGTTCAAAAGTGTTTTGTTGCGACTTGTACAGTTTTTTTCTCCTTTCGTGTACTGAGAATACTGTGTTAAATGTTTAAGGATAAGTATTGTATTTAAAAATAAAGCAAACATTAAGTTTAAGCTAGTTAGCGACGTTTACCTTGCGCGTGTACGCCATCTCTCGAATATACACGCGACAAAATCACACGTCCCTCTTGTTTGTTGTTTGCTACGAGAAAAAAATATATTTCCAGGGGGTATAGGGGGTGGTAGAAAATTCTTTGGAAATTCCAGAGGGGTGGGGGGGCTACCACTGCTACCCCAAAATGGAAAATCCGAAGGGGTGGGGGGGTCCTATATGAAATTCCCTCCGTGGTGGGGGTATGGATATTTTCTGGAAACACACAATGTGAGGAAATTAGAAATGAAGTCAGTGTGCCACCACTGACCATCCAATTGTTTCAACTGCCATGCCCAGATAATTTATTCTTTGTTGGGAGTTCAAATCAATGTTTTCTTTAGAGCTGTCCTGTCCCTTTTTATGGAACACATTTGGCCAATTTCATTTCACATTCAAGATAGCACTCCTTTTTTCAGTAATACATGTTAATAGTACTTAATTTCTTTCCTTCAACATTCCTTTTTCGTGTATCTGCAAAGTTTGCCATGAGAGGGCCATGAATAAAAGAAGAAAGTTGAGCAGTCCTCTTTTCTGTTCAAAGAGCTCTTTCAAATATAAACATTTCATTATCTGATCCAAGGTTTTAATTAGATAGATGATAAATTTCTGAAAAAATTGAATTGTTCTTAAGACCAACCAAATTACAGTGCTTTCCAATGTTATTTTGGTAGTAAAATACTTTAATTACAAATTTAATTATCATCTAGATCATTTCAAAAGGACTAAGCCCAATTAAAACATTCCTAAAGTTTTTAAAACTTAGTTCCAATCCTTTTGGTAAAGTTTTAAACAAATGGGCAGAAACATTGTTTCTGAGCATCCACTGAATTCTTCCAAACAAAATTAAAAGATGTTCTTCTTACCAAATTATTTAATTCTATTAGCACGCTACAACTTTCCATGAAACCAGAACAGTATTCTGCAACAAACTAGATGCAGATCGTCTGCATGTAGTTTGTAACTTGAGGACCACATCCTTGAGTGACAAATTTACAAAATTTTGAGATCATTGCTGAGTGAGATTTACATCCTCATACTTGTCAAGTGTGAAGAAGAGGGCATTACCTTTCTAAGGGAGGGGGGGGGGGGTGAGGAGTCATACTCCCCTGGAGAAAATTGTAAGACCTGTATTATTTTATTCTGAACATTTGTGGAGAGATTCCACTTTACCTGCAGTCTGTGGTCAGCATGTGAGCATGTGCAATAGTCATTAAATGCACTGACCAGTGGGTGTAACAGTGGCTCTGCACAAGAGTTTCTACCTTTGGAAAGAGTGCAAAGTGAGAACAAAGGGAACAAGGATAAATATCCATCTACTGTAGAAAGATAATTGATAACTAATGCAGCAGTTTGCTGATCCAAACTCAAAAGTTTATTAATTTCAGAAACCTTTAATGTGTGAGGGATTGTAGTTTCAGCCTAAGAGCCTAAGATTACACTACTTCATGTGAGTCTCATACTAAATACTGGAGACTTAACAGCTCCACAATTGTAAAATATTTATAGTGTGCCAACAGACACTTTGGAATGTACATGTATAAAGCCAACTTTAAAAGCCCAGACTTTTATGCCCCTAAATAAGATGTCAGCTACTCTATCCTTCTGCCAATATGCAGAATTCTATTCATCAAAAAGGCTCCATAATGGTTTGTCCATCCTGAAAAATCACACTTAACTTGTCTAGCTTCTTTGTCTGCATACATATTAATCTTTGCCATGTTTCTCTACGGTTTGTACTTCCCTCTTTGATTTTATACATTTTCCACAGGAAAGCAGCCAGTTATTTAAGGTTAGAACACAAATCTAGGTGATGGCCTCTTAAGTTTAGTTTATGGAAAAATTGATGACAATTTTTGTAAGGATTAGCTGCTCTTTGGGATCTTGAAATGTGATCTGTGTTATAGTTTCATGCACACAGTACTCTAAGACACTTGGAGATACATGTAAGAGTGTTTCTGATTGTGAAGCATAATGCTCCTTCAACTAAGGATCAAGGAATGTCTACAAAACTGCCTAACAGCTGTAACCCCTATACATCTGCTACAATCCAGGCCAAAAGTAAAGCTTCTTTCTCAAGGTTGATGTTGGTTCTGATATTTGTTTTTCATCGATTTCACCCATTCCACTGATCCTGTTGTTAACCTCTGTGAGCATGCCCAGAATATCCTCATAGCCAGCTTGTTCTTGAAAGACCTCCACAACACAGCGTACGAAGCGGCTTCCCAACACAGGATTTCGGAATGCTGCATGACCACTGAGGGTTGAATTAGCTATCAGAATATCAGCATGATTAGCAATGGTTTCTCTGATGCAAAAAGTAAAACCTTTGTCAGTAACTTCACTATTAGTGCTGCCTGACAAAT